TAACGGATCTTGAGGATCTCTCTGTCGGATTGTTAGGCTCTGAAAAACACGCTAATTGAAGAAATATGTAAACTCCTGAACGTAGCTTGAAGCTTGAGAAATGTTGTGAATAGTGCCATGCATATTAATTAAAAGATGTTGCCATATTAAGAGTTATTACAAAAAAGCGAGTGTTCTTGAAAAATATATAAATTTATTTTGGTTACCTATTAAAGACGTTAACATGGATGGGCGGGCCAACATGCATAAAAATAGTGCATCTAGACTTCCTATATCGTCTAAAAGTTACTCTAAATATACAGAACACTCAAGATCTCTCTGTCGGAATCAACACGTTTTTCCCCCGTCGAGCTTGGATTTGATGTTTTGGTGCATTTTGTTTGCTTCACTGGTCCTTGTTCTGCTGTTATTGTGATGTCGAGATTTCACCTTGTTTGTTAGGTCCAAGTTTACATTTTTCTTCAATTAGCGTGTTTTTCAGAGCCTAATAATCGGTCAGAGAGATCCTCAAGATCCGTTAATATGAAGGTTACATGTTTGTTGTTAATGTTACGGGTTGGTTGTTAAGGTTATACATGTTGTTTGTTAAGGTTACGGGTTGCTTGTTAAAGTTACGCGTTTGTTGTTAAGGTTACGCGTTTGTTGTTAAGGTTACGCGTTTGTTGTTAAGATTACGGGTTGGTTGTTAAGGTTACGAGTTGGTTGTTAAACAAGCAAAAACTCGTAACCTTAACAATCAACCCGTATAACGTTAACACCAATCCGTAACCTTAACAAGCCTGTAACCTTAACAACCAACGCATATTCTTAACAACCAACCCGTAACCTTAACAAGCAACCTGTATAACCTTAACAACCAATACGTAACCTTAACAACAAACGCGTAACATTAACAACCAACATATAACCTTAACAACCAATGTAGGACATTCTAATGGGGGAGTAATTTTAACAAGCAACCGGTATATTTTTATTTGGGTTATTTTAAAGTTTTTTGGTGGTAATAGTTTTAGCGTTGGTAATTAGTAACATGCCCGCACCCATCATCATGGCCATCATCATCAACTTTCTCCTCATGGGCGCTCATCTCTTTCGCCAAAACCTCATCAAAATCAATCTTTTTACTCTTCAACCCCCTCTTCTACTTGCTGTTGGCCTCCTTCGATTCAAGGGTCTCTTCAAAGGCATCGAGGATGAGGTGGATGACATGGCGGTTGGGTGAGGCATCCCAACGAGCCCAGAAGCTCTTGTAGCATCCAAAGCAGGAGCAGCCAAGGTCAGGGGGCATGGTTATAATTACTATCAATCTTGTCCTTCTTCTTCTTATTATTGTTCTTGGGTTGGGCGAGTCCTCCCGCACGCTCCCACGCTCCCACGAATAGGTCCTCCCACGCTCCCACTCTCCCATGAACAGGTCCTCCCGCACGCTCCCACGCTCCCATGAACAGGTTCTCCCACGCTCCCACGCTCCCATGAACAGGTCCTCCCGCCCGCTCCCACGCTCCCATGAAACCCAGCTCGCAGAGAATCATGAAGCAGTAAAACCTCAGTCGCTTGTTCCCGTCGGCTATGCAGCGCTCGTCGCCGGAGTTTCGCTCGGCCCTCGAGCGGACGATCTCTTTGTACTCCTCGAACCGTGCCGGGGTTTTCTCCGCGTTGTGGATCTTAAGGATGATGTGGATGGCCGGAGCGACGGTGGCGGAGAAGGGGAGGATGGCAGGAGGAGGGCGGCGGCGGCGGGTGGAGAGGTGGGGGAGGGAGGAGGGAGAGCAGAGGGATTGCAGGGTTAGAGAGAGAGAGAATGGGTATTATAGTCTTTCCCTGTGTGAAATTCATTGGGCTTTGTGTTTTGGGGGCTCAGAGAACAAAAAATTTACTTTTGGGGGCAAAGCACCCGTTGAAAAAGTCTTGGGGGTGTGAAGCTTGTTTTCATTCGTTTTGGGGGCTGGAAGCATTTTTCCCTTGAAAAAATTAACAACTGAAATTTAGGAGGAGAATTCAAGAAAGGAAAAAAAAAAAGAGACTACGTTGATAGTGCAGAAAGAAGCAATAATCATAAATTCTTGAGCAGGGAGAAAATAATCATTTCAAACATACTAAAATGAAGGCGCCACATTTAAACACTCGAGACTATTTCTCATTTTGATAACACTTTAATTTTTTGGAAAAACGCGCATATCTCCAACGCACAAAACCTAGCGATTTAATATCTCACGAGTTTGCCGCTATCAACGTACCGTCATGGACCATGAAACAGGACGGTCCTTCCGAAGCTCAGCAGGGCCATTGCTTGTGTCCTTTCCTGCACAGTAAAAGCCATCACCGGCAAGTATTCGGCGAATTTTATATTATTTTGCTCCTAATTATTAATATTTAAAAAACCAAGAAACCGATATTGGATAAAATAATTTGCAAATATAAAGACTGTGTGTGATACGCCGAAGGAATATTTTATGAGCTTGGCTCCAACCAGGCACAGCCACGAGGAGTTGGCTGCAGACGAGCTTCGGACGTGATACAATTTTCTACTCAATTTTTATTTGCTAAGAGTTCATAGTGGCAAAAAAAAAATAATGTTAGAGGCACACAGGGCCGGTCCTGAGCATTCGGGGCCCTAGGCAAAAACTTGAATAAAAATCTTAAAAGGGCCCTCGTGTATTCAAGATTTTTTTTTAAAAAATAAAATGTTGCACCCAAGTAACTTTAGGGATGCCTACATAAAAAATTATATACAAATACTAAAATACATAAAATCAACAAATATTATAATTTATAAAGTTATAAAATTACCTTGAAATTTGAATAGTTTAACTTCAAACAAATTTCAGATCAACACGCCTGAATCCTAAAAGATGCACTTTTATCTCTTCTTCCTATTCAATAGACAAAAACAAAGTTTGGACTTCAAGATTTTTTTTGGGACACGATGCAATCATTTGAAGTATGGATCACTAGCTACTGATTTTCATTGTTCAGGTACCGCACTTTGATTATACAGCCTGTATGCATATTATGGTTTCTTGTTTCAATTGATTAATCACTAATCAGCAAATATACTAAGTATAGTCTGATTCATAATTTTATATATGTTATGCACAGATTCATACTTTGTTTATACAACTAATTCATGTATGTTAATAATGTTATGCACAGATTCGTGCTGTATAGAATCAATAACAAAGCAAAAGTAATATTAGGTCATGAAGTGATGAAACGAAGATATCATGCTATATCTAAGTATAGTCTGTTATCTGTATAGAATTATAGAAATATTCAATTATTCAAATATACTTATATACCTTGTAACCTTGACGGAGTCGCCGGCCAGAGGAGGCGCAGATTGCAGACAGAGACAGAGTCTCTAAAGGGCAAAGGCGCTGGCGGCGAGGTCGCGTTTGCCTTGCTGGTGGGAGGGGCGGAGGGAGTCGCCGGAGACGGCGTCGTGGAGTTCGACGGCGGAGGAGCGGACTGCAGACGGTCCGGACGGAGTCGGGAAGAAGAAACGTCACTTCAGAGAGAATCAGAGAAGAAGAAGAGAGGTCGGGGATCAGACGGCACTTCGAAAATCGGAGAGACCAAGGGTTTTTCGTTTTTGTATTTATAGCCTCTAACACTTTTGCATAAAAATCCTCTGGAGGCACACTCCCAACCACACTCTCAACCACACTCCCTCATCCGTACAGTAACAATAGGCCCTACATGATATTTTTTTAAAATATCATGTGGGTCCTACTATTACTGTAGCGGTTGAGGGAGTGTTGTTTAGAATGTGCCTCTAGTGTTACTCGTGGCAAAAAAGTTGACGTGGCAAATTGAGCTGATCTCTCTATTTTTTTAAAGAAATTAAATGTTAAAAGGTTTTAAAAGAGAGAGAGAAAGAACAATTTTTCAAAACAGTCCCATTTTTTTTTTAAATTTTAAAATTAACCTTTTTTTTATTTACCAAAACCGACCCGTTTTTTGCCACGTCAGATTAATCACTTTCCTAAACAGTCGAGGTTGTCAATCCCGACTATTTAGAACATAATTTTTTAGGGTTTAAGGCTTCTAATTGGGGTTAATACCCTCCTAAATAGTCGATGTTGGTAACCCCGACTGTTTAGGAAAATGATTAGGCTGACGTGGTAAAAAACAGATCGGTTTTGGTAAATAAAAAAATGGTCAATTTTAAAAATTAAAAAACAAAATGAGGTTGTTTTGAAAAATTGTTTCTAGAGAGAAAAAGCGGAGCGGATTGAGCGGAGCTGGTGTCACTTTGCTTTGGTTCAAGGAACTGGAGACAGGTGGACAATAGCCGGTCTGAAGATATGTTAGAAAAACGATATGGGATTTTGAGATGAGATGGAGACACAATGGTTAACAATGTGATGATATCATCTAAATTATCTTACTCTAATTTAATCCCATCTAATGGTTAAATAACAACAAAAATAATCAAACTTTACAAAGCACTAACTTTTCAGGACTTAAATATACTAAATTGCATGCGAGGTAACATGATGTGAAGAAATCAACATCTCCAATATAGAAATTAGACGCCACGCGTTTAATGAAACGCACCTCACCATCCACAAATTAATTCTTTTGTACAGAAATCTGTAATAAACTGCTGAGTATACGTCAGCATCTCCAATATAGTTCTCCTCAATTAGGAGGTGGCTACGCTCTGTAGTTTTATAATCATCTCTTAAGTTCACAATTTCTTCAAAGAAATATCACTATACAATAACGTAATTTCATGAAGGCCCTTTGAGATCAACAGCCTGTACATTACGCGACAATGTTTTACTACAATTCCATTTGAAAAAAAAAAACAGAATAGAGAGTTGGCCAAGAAGTGGCCTTTCTTTATTTCACCGTCACAACAATGCATCTTTAAGCAAACAGAGCGCACACACGACACATATAAGTGAAATTAGAAATCATATATGTACAATGAAAAACTGTAATGCTGAGAATTGTCGGCTGTAATATAGTTTGATGCGTGTATCGATGTTCCGTCATAGGAGAAATGGCTTCCGATAAATGTCGAACCTCTCCGAAGAAGAGAGTTGAGGCACCTGTGGAAAAGAAAGGACATAGGTAAAGCCTCAACGTTTTATAGGAACAAATTCGGTAAACTCTCATATCCTACTCCTAAGAACCATAAAATACTAAGAAAAATATTTCACCAAAAAAGAATTCAGTTCAGATGTATAATAACTATCGAGAAGTCTTTGCAACTCAATCATATATCATGGGATCATCAAACTTTTGTTCCTAAGCGGAACTCAAGTCTTTCGAATTTATACAAAGATATATCCTACACACAAGAAATGAGAGGAATAGTTTCAATTTGCATGTTCATGTAAGGTTGAACAAAGATCCAATTATCTCAGTCAAATTTTCACCATCTGGAGGAAACTTTGAAATGAAGCTTATTTAAAAGGTAACACAACAGATCTCATACGACGCTCATGTCATGCCCACGTCATATGCCTACTTCTTTTAGAAATTTATATAAATCAACAAGATTTTTTCCATTGTTGGCAAGGATTTGAAGGGTGTACGATTTTCCCTTTGATGCATGCACCATATGAGAACGACAATAACTCTCACGAGCTTTAAATAGATAGCTTCCAGTTCAAAATACCTGTCTTAATCCAAATTTGAGAACTCTCCTTACGAAGGAGCCGATTGGATCAGCCAGCCTGGCCTTGGAACTTATGTCGGCTCCATGGATCACAGAGCGCATGGTGTAAAGCAAGCATCCATAAGTTATTCCAGGATTACTGTCAAGAGCTAGAATTAAACTGTAAGTCATGGCACCAGTTGTAATAGAGCCAGACAAAGCCTGCGGTAAGATTAACACATCAATCAAGTGGATGTATTCATTTCCTCAATAAAATAAAATAAAATAAACTAAAAATAAAAAAAATAAAAGAGTATTCGTATTCATGAAAAAGAAGAAAGTGCTAACTATTAAAAATGTGGGGATGTGAAATATACTTTAAATATGAACACCTGGAGAACGGAAACTTATATCAAGATTTCCATTCTTGATATATGTTTATCTTCAAAGGATTTCCACAGTACTAGAGAAGTGGAAACTCGTATCATGACTTGTGATGTTTCCCAGACTTATTGTCGTCTTGGAAGGATTTAATTTAATACTTATATTGGTGATAAAGGGCCAGGCTGGTGGCTGGAGGGTGATGCTACTACGAGCACTCTGATTGTGTTCAAACTGTAAGTAGTGAATGTAAGCCTTGCAGTTTGTAGGTTTATAGTTTTGTTAAAATAGAAAAGGAGACACTGGCCTGACATATGAACGTAAGCCGACTTTAGTATTACGACAAAATTGAACTGAGTGCTGTTGCGGCATTAGTGTTAAAAAAACAGAGAAAAACAATGGTTTAAGCATTCAATTTATAAAATATACTATATACCTAACCACTTGAATAAAAATATGCAACGTTAAAAAATTATAATAGCTTACACTATATATCGAACTACTGCAGTACAAAGTGGATTTTGAAATAATTTGTTGGAGTATTTTGAGTCTAAAAGTGAATTTAGAAATGGACAGGTGCAAGAATAATGGCGGTAAAACTTTGAGATTACACGCAAAAACCGATATACATTGTGACGTTTGTGTGGAAAAAAAAAATTAAGCATGTGATTTAAAAATACACCGCATAGCTGACCACTTTGAACAAAAAGATAGCAAGTTACATTGTATACCAAATTTCTTAAGTACAAAGGGTAAAAGTAACTCAGTGAAGTATTTTGAATCTGACAATGATTTTTCAAGTGTGTGGCTTTAAAAGTAGATATGAGTACAACTTCATATTAATTAGCCAAAAAAATTTAGGGAAGTATGCGGGTTTATAAATAAATAGGGTTATACTTTGGTGGAATAAATAGGGTTATACTTTGGTGGATTTTTTGGTTGTGTGGCTTTATAAATGAATGTGGCAAAACTTTGTATATGGAATATTTGGGTCTTGGATTGATTATGGAAGTGGGCATGTTGAAAAATAATTTTTTTGGGGTTGTGGGGAGGGGGGCTATAAAACTTTGGGTTTACAGGCAAAAGGTCTTTCTTTTGAGAAGCGGGTGGGTTCAGTAATGAATGGCGGTAAATTTTGAGTTTATACGGGAAAAAATATGGAGTTTCAAGAATCGAACCCAAGAGCTCCTCACATCAAAAGGAAGAAGTTTACCACTGTGTCAATTATTATTTATTTCGGGTCTGAGAATATATACCAAGTCATTGGAGATGAACTGTAGATAAACATTGCTCATCTCCAATAACTTAGTATATAGTATAATATAATATACAATATGTTGATAGTCATGTTTTGAATAATAATTTCGTAGTCTTGACATTTTGGTTACCAAGAGAGATTTAGGGTGTGTTTGGCAATCACCTAAAAATTGGGCAAAACTAACCCCAATTCATCGAGTGAAAAAAATACACCTCACATCTAATAGAGTCAGAGATAAATGATCGAAGGGTGTATTAACGTTTATAACACCCCCTCGCCCAACCCCCTTCTCTCTCTCAACTCTGAAAACCTCAGCTCGCCATTAAAGATTTTTGCCCAAGCTTGAAGGAGCTCAACTTGCAGAACAATAAGTTCACAGGACAAATCCCGAGATCAATCA